CGAAGGCGATAGGCGTCGGGGGCTGAGTCGGCGGGAGCGGTGCGTCCGCGTTGCCCAGCCGCGGGGACTCCACCGCGCGCACAAGCACTGGCGTGTGGAGATGCTGTATAGGTGGTTGCATGGCCCAAGGCCTCTCCATGCTACCTGCCCTCTACCTGCCGCTACCCGCCCGGCGCCTCCGAGCTTGGCTGGTCATCGTGGTAGTAATCGCCGAAAGTCGCCGGGAACCACACGTTACCGCCCGTAGCCATCCGCAATCATAGGACGGCTTACGCAACGGTTGGACGTGCGCAAGGGTGATGTCAAGAGCGCTGCACGGCCAGCGGCAGCAGCAGCAGCAACAGCAGCATCAGCCACCCAGCGCGACGGCGCCGGCGTGCTCGTGGGTGCGGCCGCGCCCCCGCCGCCGGGGCGCGCGACGTGGGTCCTCGCTGGACGGGCTGCCCCGCGGCGGCAGGGCGTAGCGAGATGGGCGGTAGAGGGGCAGGGGCCGCGCGACGTCGGCGAGACAGCAGAGGGAGGACTCAGAGGGGGCGAAGGTTTTGAGTCTCGCATCAAACTGGATGCATGTGTTCAAAAGAAAGTACCGACTCCACCAATACAATGGGTGTGCATCCCGGCATGCGAGACTCGCGAGCGCAGACGCGAAGGCGGGCGCGCAAGGACTAAGTGTGCTGCACACCCGCTCCACACTGCGTCCCAGACCGAAATACGTACACAAGGACACTCGGACGCTCAAAGGGGATACTCCTCGAGTGTGGCCGACTGACCGTGGAGCTCAGCTGGCGAGGGCACGGGAGTTGAGCTCGCCACCCAGCCCAGGCCGAGGACGTATTTGGGGTCGGGGATGGAGGGAGGCGGAGCACCCACCGAGGCGCCGTCCACCGGCATCGAGCCGTTGAACGTGGCGACGCCGACACGCACCGTCAGCAAGCGCGCCGCTGGCTCGTAGTCGATGCAGTGCGCCGAGCGGCTGCCGCACCCTCCTGTGGCACCCAGCTCGTCCTTTGCGCGCAGCTGGCTCTCGTCTGCGGCTGAGAGAGGGGTGGGGGAGACCAGGGCAAAGCGATGCGTGACCTTGGCTGTCGACGGCAGCTCCACGGCGAGGAAACCAAGGAAGCTCTGCGCGTCCTCGGAGCTCTTGATCGAGGCACGGTAGATGATGCGGTCCGTGTCCGACATGCCCGCCCCCTTCCCCGAGCGCTGGTACATGTCGGGCCAGCATGGCAACGCCATCACATTCTCGGGCGGCCAGTTCTTCAAGTGCAGCACCATTGGGTCGAGCGCCGAGACCTTGTCGACGCGGTCGATGAAGGCTGCCTGGGAGGGGAGAGGGGCAGATCAATTAGTGAGGGACGCGGGGGGTAAGGGGGGGGCAGGTGTGTGTGTGTGTGGAGAGAGGAGTTGCGACGCGGGCGAGGCGAGGGGGCGAAGAGAGCGCGCGCGCACACACCAGCATATCTTGATGCGCCCTTTGCAGGACGGCGAGGCGGTGCAGCTCGGGAATCACGAAGTCGATCTCGACCTTGCGCGACTCCTTGATCGACAGGTCGCGAGTGGCGACTATGTGACCCTGCAGCAAGCAGCAGTCGAAAAAGCGGACGCGAGCGGTGCCGACGGCGCACATAATCATGAACGCGCACGAGGCGCACGAGATCACGCCCTCGTGGGTGACGGTCGCCGTGTTGATCTTGACGCCGATGTCGGTCGGCACGAGTGCGCCCGTCAAGTTGAGAAACGGGCGCTGGTTGAGAGGTCGCTGCAGCAGGTCCTTGCTCTCGGGGTCGGTGGTGCAGAGCCTGAGCTCGTCGGAACCCTGCTCGAGCACGCGGAAGCCGTGGATCTCGTCGCCCGAGAAGTCCTTGCCGAACATGTACTTGATGCTGCCGTCGCCGTCCATGTACGAGAGGAACCGAACCAGCGCATCGTCGGCCTGGAACATGAGCGCCGCGCCGCGCAAGACCGGCCCGGCGGTGAGGGGGACAACGGGCAAGGCGGGCGGGCAGCGCCGGTGGCTCGAGGCTGGCCGCGGGAAGAGCGACGGCGGGAGCAACTCGGTGGTGGGCATGTCGTTCAGCGACTCGGGCATGATCGAAGCAAGCGACGCATCCTTCCCCCAAGGCGTGAACGAGAGCGGCCTGACCGCCTGCGGCGGCGCCTATGTTGAGGGGAGAGGCGTCGCTCTGGTGCGCGCAGAGGCGGTCATGGGGCGCGGCGCGGCTGCGAGGCGGCACCTTGTCGTTGAACTCGAAGATGAGCGTGCCCGCGACCTCCCACTCGCATCCCAGCCCGACCGCCGCGATCCCCATGACCGCCTCCGCGTCGTGCGCCTCTGCGCAGTTTGTGAGCACCACCACCTTTGGATCCTGCTGCATGCGCGCCGCGAGCTCCGTCCCAAGCAGAGAGACGATGTCGACCCGCTGGCGGATGAAGCCGGCCGGCAGCACGTCGGTGTCGCCGTCGTCAAAGTGGACACGGAAGCCGGTCGTTCCCCTCTTCGTCTGCACGACCTTCGTCACGTAGCCTGGGAACCAGCGCGCCTTTTTTTGATATCGGGCATCGACGCGGTCGCCAAGGGCAAAGGCGGCGCCCTCGGCCAGCGCGTCGTCGTCCGAGGTCGCCTCTAGTGGTGGCGGCGCTGGAGCTTCGTCCTTGTAGGCAGCGAGGTCCTCCCCGTTGTAGCACCACAAGAGCTCGGCTGTCTGGGCCGTCTCGGGGTCATTGGTCGACCCGCTCTCAATGAAGCACCGGAAGAGAACTGCAGGGCGGATGCCAGCTGCGAGGGGGCGAGCGGGGCGACTCAGAGCTGGGAGGGCGCCATACGCAGCGCCTCGCCGCACACGCTGCGCAGCGAGGGTGTGTGCAGCTCCACACTAACTGCGCGCGCGCCGGGAGGCAATAGCGCGCGCGTACCGTCGCCATTGGGCATACTGAACGCGACCTCGTAATAGCGGTCCGCGCCGTACCGAAGGGCCTGCCCGTTGTTACGACGCGACACCGCGTTCTCGCCCACGCGGCCCAGCAGGCGCCTGGCAGGCGCCGCTGGCATCCCCAGCAATTGAGGCGCCTCTCCTCTCACCTGCCCTCTCGTGAGCTTCCAGTGGTTTGCGTTTACTAATGGAAACCTCCTGAAACTTCAACAACTCCCAGGCAGGTTTTGTGTTCCAACTCGCCACAGGCTGGGAATGGGGCGCCACACAGCCAGACCAAAAAAAGGCAAAGCCGGAAAGCCTCCCAGATCGGTCATCGCTGCAGAATTCGGACGTTTGCTGCTAAAACAGCTAAAACGCACCGATAAAAAAGACTTTAGCAGCCAACGCAGCCGAGACGCGAGAGATAAAGCCCGAGCAGGCCGCAGAGCGAACTCGCCGTACTGAGCACCGCAGCGCGAACTCGCTCCTGTTCGCTGCGCAGCCCTAGCTGCGCTCCATTTTTGGCTCTGGCCGCGACCGACCCAGGCCCGGCTCCAGCCGCGGCCACGTCCGAGCCGGCGGCGGCCACGCAGCAGGGCGCGCCACCGCACATGCCACTCGCCGCAGCGGGCGGTGTCGCCGGCGGCGACGCACCGGATGCTGCCGGCATCGAGACACGGCGGAGCTGGTTGCCGAGCAGGAGGACGGCTCGGCACGGCGCCGGTGCACGGGACCGTCGCCATGTACGCCGGTGTCGTGGAGGGTATGATTATCCGGTAGGAGCCTGAGCGGGACATGGTGTGCGTGGTTGTGAGTATGCACCGTAAACGAGACGCGATCACGCTTTTAGCGCGACATTGAACGGGCTCCGCCTCGAGAGGGCGTCTCGCGTGCGCGGCGCCGCTTGGGCGGGGCGGGAGAGCAGAGGCACGCGAGGCGGGCGGGAGGCGGGCGGGAGGCGATCTCAACTGCAGAAATCGCGCCGCGGAGAGCTCAAGTCAGCAGAGCGGCCCCTGCAGACGAGGGGACGGAGGTCGACGGCCAATTAATCGCTCTGGCGGGGCGTCGCCGCGGGGGGCGGGAGGCGTGGCGGGCGGGCCGAAGGCGCGGGCGAGTGTGAAGAGAACCGACGGCGTCAAACGGTCCGTGTCGGCACACGGGCGGCACGGGCAAGGGCCCGCACGTGCCCCATGGCCAGGGGGAGCGGCGGCGCTCCTGACTACGCTCGAACAGGCCCCGCGAGACGCCTCTCGCGGCGGAGGTCGAGCGGCGACGTCGAGCGCCGACTTCCGCGCGGCTCCTGCGTCGGGCGCGTGGTGCGCGTCGAGAGGGGTGGGTCGGACAGGCCGGTCCAGGGGGTCGTGTGGGCGCGTGCGAGGGCCGGAGTCGTGAAGCCACCCTCAATAAATAGGCCGCCGGATCAAAGTTGAGTCGCCGGCGCCTGAGAGGCGTCCGGCCCTCGTCTAGCAGCCGCCGTGAGGCAACGGGAGCTCCTCCGAGGCTCAAAATTGGACCCATCTGACCGCTAACGCGTCCTCTGCAAGGCTGCGTCTTCGGGCTGCGGCCGGCGGACTGCCCAGCCTCGGCGAACCAGCGAAGATGGGAAAGCCTCGTTCGACGACGCGAATTTCTTTTCCAGAGGTTCAGACCCCCTGCTAGAGCCCCAGGTAAGGCCCAGGTGTGGCCTAGGGCATCAGAAGGGACCAAGAGGAGTCCAGTCTGAGCCCTAGAGCCCATGTCTTTGCCCCCGAAGGTCGCGTTCAAATGCCCGGAACGGACGTCACAGTGGTGTCCGGCCGGCGCGATCACCGAGCTGTGACGCTCAGGAAAGCCTGATGAGGTACTGGCTTCTTTGCGGAAAATCTGAATACTTTTTCCTCGCGGGGAATCCTTTGTTATAGCCGGCTCTACCAGAGGCGTCACTAACTCGTGAAGAGCACCGATGATGTAGTGAGTGAGTGGTCGGAACAACCCAACCAGGACTAATCCGACCCAACCCAACAACCCAACCCAAAAAGCACGATTCTCCTGTTGGGCCCTTTGTGTCATCCGGACACCTAATTCTCTTTTGAGTTCCCTTTTCGCGGCATGTCAGACACATCGGCCTCCTCTGGCCGCCTGTGGCCGCACGTGGTCAGCGGCGTCTCCGGGCGCGTGACCGCGGAGCTCTTCATGTCGCCAATCAACCTCCTCAAGGTGCGGCTACAGCACAACCTCCAGCTGAAGCGGCTGCCCGTGCCGGCGGCGATGCTGCAGCTCGCGCGCGACGAGGGAGCGCTCTCGCTGTGGCGAGGGCTGCCGCCGCGGCTGATGTGGGCGACGCCGCTCAGCGCGGCCACCTTCACCTACTACCAGGCCGCCAAGAAGGTCTCCTCGGGCGAGGCCTCCGACGGCGCCGCCGGGAAGCGCGACTCGCGGATCGTGCTCGCCGGCCCGTTCATGCTCGCCGCCAGCGTGGCGGTGCGGACGCCCTTCGACATTGCGGAGCAGCGGCTGCAGCTGGAGCCACCGGCGACGGGCGCCGACGCCGCGCGCCGCCCGAGCGCCTTTCGTCGCGCGCTGAGCGTGCTGCGGAAGCTGTGGGAGCCGCGCCCAAGATGCTGGAGAGATGCTGGAGAGAGGGAGAGATGCTGGAGAGATGGCCGAGAGAGAGCTGTGGTAGATGCTTGCCAGCAATATACTGCGCTGCTCGACGGCATTCCAGCCCACCACAAATGTGGGCAGTTGCTGCTGCCGCAACGCGCTCGAGCAGCGATGCGCGGCCGCACACAGCATTAACATCTGTGCGAGAGACTTCTACGCTCATCCTCTCCACCTCCACTCTCAGGACGCCGAGGGTCCGCGTGGGCTGTGGCGCGGCTACTCGGCGGCGCTCTGCGGGGTGGGCACCTTCGTGGTGCCGAGATACGCCGAGATACAGCTGAGATACAGCCGAGGTGCAGCAGAGGTGCAGCAGAGGGACAGCCGAGATGTAGATGTGGCGGGCGTTCCTTCACAGCGGTGCCGCCGTACAGGTGGGGTACTTTGTGGTGTATGAGACTGTGCGCAAGCTGCTGCTGCAGACTCCCCTCGGCAGCGTTGACTCGGCCACACGCGCCATCGCGGCCATATCTCGGCCACATCTCGGCTATATCTCGGCCATCTCTGGATTGCAGGCCACGCACGTCATTGCGGGCGGCATCGGCGGAGGCACGACAGCGGCCCTCGCCACGCCGTTCGACACTATCAAGGCCCGCATGCAGACCGGGCTAGATCTTCACTGCATCCGCGCTACCCCCACCCGAGCCGACCCCGAACCTAACAGGTCCGCATGCAGACCAAGATCTACGCGACGGCGGCCGACCCCCACCCGTCGATGCCGGCAGTGTGGCGAGCGACTGTCTCTCAGGCGGGCCGACGACCTCCTCCTCCGGCGGCGTGTTGTGGACGGCGTCTCTTCACGGCCTCCCTGGTGTGAAGCTAGGCGGGCTGGCGCGTCCTCTTCCGAGGCAACCGCCCGCCCCCGCGCACTGGGCCTGGCACTTTCAATGCCGCTAAGGTCTTCGGACGTGGAGCTGCGAGGGCTGCCCGGCCCTCCCCTCGTCACAGACGTATGTGCACAAGGGATTCTCGCCCACCCGCAGGTACTCTCGCGCGGGTCGCGTCCAACGCGCCGTCGGGCGCCATCATGTTTACCGTGTACGAGGCGGGGCACAGGTGGATCGAGGCGAGGCTGGGGTAGAGAGCCGTTGAAAGCAGCAGGCGCGGAGCGGCGGGTTATGAATCGAGACGAGTGTGCGAGTGTTTGCGCGCGGCGGGTTTGGCAACGGCCTGGTGCGTGTCGCAGCGAGCGGCGTGCGACCGTTAGTGAGAGTCGGTCAAAACACTAAAACAGAGGGACGCGCTACCGGCCTCTATACGCTCATCGCTCTAGACGCCCTACGGCGTGCTGTCGCGCGGTGTGTCGTGCATTTCCTGTGTGCTGTTCTCGGTTCTCGCGTATTCCGTAATAGAGACATACGATTTTCAGTTTGGGGGACCCTGTCGTTCACGGCCTGACGCCTGTTCCCTGGGTTTTAAAATTCTTCTTTTCATCAAATTCTTCTTCGTGTCGCAAGACGAGGGAGGGAGCAGGATGTTGCTGAGATCAGCAGGAGGATGTACGACGAGATTAGGAGCAGCAGGGACCCGAGGGACCATGTGGAAGACGGCTAGTGCTAGTCCCCCATCGGGAGGACGACCCCGGCTAGTCGCCGACCACACCCGCAAAGAACCCTGCACAAAGACCGCAGGGCGGGGACCTGTTCCTTTTTACCCATCTCCTAGTAGAGGTGTCCGTTTTATTTATTTATTTATTTCTTCGTGTCGCAAAACATGAGCGGCTCCTTGAGCAACCACTGCACCTCGAATTGGAATGGCCCCGCCCGACTGCGGCTCTCTCCGAGCGGACGGGCCGCTGGGTCTAGCGTCAAAGCTGCAGGATATGTTGACGCGAGAGCAGGCCAGCCATCGGGAGACGCAGCATGAGCTGAAGATTGAGCGAGCCGCCCACGACGACACGGCTGAGCGGCTAGTGGAGATGCAGCACAAGCTCGAGGCGACGCTCCAGGAGCTCTCCAATCTCGAGCGCTTTGTCAAGGGTTGCTCCGCCTGCTCCTCCGTTCCCTCAAACACTCCGCCCGAACGCGAGCCGCTACTCAAGGAGGAGGCATACCTCCAGTCCAGGCTGCGTTTCGTGCAGGAGGAGCTTACGAGTTCTGCGTCCACCGCTGTCACCCGGCCCTCATCGGCGAGCATCGGGCGCAAGGGCAAGGCTGCCGCTGCGTCTCCCGGCGATGATGCGCTACGCGCTTGAGCTGCGCGGATCTATAGAGCCTTAGAGCGGATCCTGATCTCCGCGGGGTCACAGTCGCCGCCGTACGTTGAGCATCACTTTTTTGTACACAATCTGCTTCTACGGATGGACGATGCTAATCTCGTGCGCGTGTCGGAATCCGTCGCAAGTACGGCCTCACGTCAGTCATTCTTGCTGACAGCCGCGGGTCGGATGTTAGATGTTACCCGAGGCGCATCCGCTCACTGTCCTCTATGCTGAAATTCGCCGACTCACGGCCCATGTCCGTGTGTGTGCTGCGTATACTTAGAGCTCTAACTGTGAGAGTTGCAATAAATAAATAAAACGGACACCTCTACCAGGAGATGGGTAAAAAGGAGCAAGTGTGAAGTCACAGCATATTGCATTTTGAGAGAGAGAGAGATTTTTGACGACCAACAATGTCTCAGACGCTGAGTTACTGGTTGGGTAGTAGTCTAAGTTCTGAGCCTCGAGGCTGAGCGGGTCTAAGTGTGACTAGTCACGCTGGGGTGCTTACGCGGTCTAAGATCAGCGAGAGCCTCTTACATCGGCTAAGTCGGCCGTGGCACAGCCTGGGGCCAAGAGGCTCCCACCGTGATCAACGATACGGCGCTAGCCCCCAAATTTTCTTCGCCTGCGGCGGGCGCCTTCTAATCCGGATCGATCCTCCTCATGCCTCAGCAATCGCCGCCTCAGCATCCTCCTCTTCCGATTCTCGTTGCTCTTCTTGAGCGCAATCTCTAGCCAAACATTTCTCACATAAATAGCCTCAAGCTCAAACAAACGCATGTCAGAGAAGCCTGTGTATGCTGGTCCTCTTTGAACGATCCGCGCGTGAGGTAGATCTAGCATAGGGCCTTGTTGGCAGCAGCCAGCTTGTTGCGCTGCTTCGCGTTGCGATGAGCTGATTGGGATCGCACAAGTGCATGCCAAGCACCGCCACGATCTTGAAGCAGAACACATCGCAACCGCATCGTCCGCACTGCCATCGGCATGCCGCGCCCGCCGCTTCGCCGCAGCCGCCTTAAGGCACGCATAGCGGCAGCACATGGTACGGTGCGCGTACTTGAGCAGGAGTTGCGCGCCGCAAGTAGCGCACTGGCCCTGGGACAAGGCGATATGGCGTCGTGCGCGGCATACGTTGGTCGGGACGCGTCCAGGTATTTTTCGGGCAAACCTGGACTTTTGCAGGTATACCCGGGTTTTACCCGGATTTGGCCTTGTGCCGTCTAAGTTCATGGCCCCCGACCATACAGCGTCTAAGTCCGAGCCCGGCTCCGTGCGGGGGCTAAGTTGAGCGCTTGCTCGCTGCAGAGGCTAAGTGTAGAGCGACCCTCTAGCCCTACTACCCAACCATTGCTGAGTTGTCTTTTCCCATTATTTTCTCAAGATGCCCAGCACCATCCTCGATCCTGGAACATCTAGCCTGGAATGCAAAATGCGTTCGTGATTGCGCTGGTATCTCTTCAATCTTGGAATACTCCATGCATCCCGGAAAATGCAATGCACCTCCTCTCCACCGTGATGCTCCTCGCCATCATCGTCACCACGACGTGTCAGCTGCGGACGGGCGTCGCCCACGACATCGTGCGCCCGCTCTCCAACGTCGCCGAGATCCCTGCCTCGCCTGCCAGGAGCGGCGTCGAGCTCCTCGCTGGGCAGGTGCGCGGGTAGAGCTCTCCACCATACTCTGCCGCGATCTCGGCTGCTGCGAGCACGGCGCCGCCCGGTGCGCGCGACATGACCCCTGCCGTTCCCGCGCACGCAGGTCGCCGAGGAGGATGTGGAGTGCCATTGCGAAAGCACGACATATGAGCGCGCGCCCGCCGCCGCCATGCAGTCCCGCCCCTTCCCGCCGTCGATTTCGTCGCCGTCCGTGCGCGCGCCGCCGTTCACTCCGCCGCCGCCGTCGCCCCCACTTCCGCCGCCCCCGTTTTGCGCCTCGCCGCCGCCGCCGTTCTCCTTCTTCCCGCCGCCCGCGCTTCCCTCAGTCGCGCGCGCGCGCGGCTCGCCTGCGTCGCCGCCGCCCCCCCTCTCGCCGCCGCTCCCCTCACAGCCTCGTACAAGGGTGCCGCCGTCGGCGCCACAGCCCCCGCTCGCTCAAACGGTGACCCTACCCCATCCCCCTCGGTAATGCCCCACCTTCTTCAGAACCAAATCCTCAACCCCCCCCCCCCCTGCTCCCCGAATCAGGTGCCATCGCCTCGTTTCCGTCGGATGAATTATGTGGAATCGTACCCCTCGGTGGTTTCCAAACCTATTCAAAAATGGACGCTTACAGAACTCGACAAAAATTCAACCGTCACAACAACATTATTGCGAGAGACGAGGAGTGACTCTTGCTCAAAGTGCACAAAGGGTGACGCGATTTCGGTTGAAATTCGCGTCACCACTCGCCGCCGATCGATGACAATCGATGACGAAGAGGAAGACCGAACTTCGCCCCAACTGCGAAACGATTGCGATTGGCGTTGGCCTGAAGGACTTGCCCCGTTGCTGAATCTCGATGCACACCTTTCGCTGCGAAATTGGGAGCTCAAACCAGGTCATGTTGCCTCATTGCGGCTTGTCGGAACACACCTTTCGGTGCGGCATTGGGCGCTGGAAGGAAATCAAGTTCAGCTGATTTCAAACGCCACCCGATACTACTACTCAGCTTCGTCTTGGGCTAGCCATAGATACCTGCTTCTTGGTGAGCGCACGGAGTACTTTTTTGGGGGGGGGGGGGAGTGGCTCTGCACCGTTCGATCACCAGATGCTTCGGATTGCCACCGGGCTTGGTCTCCCTCGGCGGCAACTCTGCATTTCTCAGCGGCTACGAAGCCGGCTCGGCTGTCGGATACCTCTGCGTCAAATGGGTGCGCATGCTCGTGAAATCACCTCAGAGTTGCGACTTTGCCATGGTGCCAACATTGATGGTACTCACACCACTCGTCAACAACGACCCGCTGTTGGTTACGCACGGCATCGCGGCATTCCGCCGCAACTCAGTTCAAGCGAAGCGCGAATTGGCAAAAAAGGACCGAAGGCGGTCAAAGGCGCTGCGGAGGAAGGAGCTGCGATTGTATACCGGCGGGGCTTTGGCGCCCACCTTGAACTTGCGTGCGGACGCTCGTACTGCTTTTTTCAGAACGGAGAGCGGCAGGTTCGAATGGCTACCATCCTCGTCGACGTTCGTCGAGAGGCTCGCTCTGCTAGTGGAAGGTTGCATTCCATGCTTTCGTTCGCCCCGCAAGCGGAACGGTCCTACTCCGCCGCCAACCTATGCGAGCTCCCAGATGCCCACTGAGGGGAGAGCTGAGGAGGAACTTGACAGCTGCACTCTCGACGCAGATGGCTGGCGGCGTACCGGAAGGCGGCGGACAAGGCGGCCGAGGTGCCACCACTCCACTCCCCGTGCCCCCCCCCCCCCCCTCCCTCCCACAGTCACTCCCGCGTGTGGCAACCACCTCTCAGGACTTGTCGGCCGGGACGCCTTCGGAGTCGTCGGACGGGTCGCCCTCCATACGAAACGGAGTCCGAGGTGGAGAAGCCCCCCAAGTACACTTGCTCCCTCTGCAGCGAAAAGGGGCACACGGCCTACAAAACTCCTCGGAATGGCAAGAAGTCGATTCACGAGGAGCGGTACATCAGCTGCATGCAACCACCGCATGCACGGGCAACTTTGGGCGAGCGACAAGGGCCCGGCGCCGCCGATTACTGGGGGCAAGGGCAAGGGCAAGGGCAAGGGCAAGGGCAAGGGCAAGGGGCGCGGGTAAGCGAAAAGTCGGGGTAATCCATCGCGATCGAGCCCGAGACCTTCTCTTCGACCTTCTCGCGGGACCGTGACCTTCTCGGGAGGTGGTGGCCATACAACATGTCACACGAGGTCGAACGATGTTCCCGCGTCTTTCCTTTCTTCAGATGTCTGTGTTTTAAGTGTGTGGATCTCGCGATGGTTGCAACTGAAAAGACCTCCAAGCCCTGGGAGCCCTCCCCCTACTGTAATAATAATAACGGGCACCTCTACCAGGAGATGGGTAAAAAGGAACAGGTTCCCACCCGTGCGATCTTTGTGCATGCGGGGAGGGGTCTTTGTGGCTTGTGGGGGGTGGTCGGCGCACGGCGGCTAGCCGGGGTCGCAGCCCAGGATGCGCGCGCATCCTGGGTTGCTTCATGCATCTTGGGCCGACGCGGACCAGCGACCAGCTGAGGCGGCCCGTAAAGCCGTACCGGGCGGCGAGACGGGCGAGCCGCGAGCGCGCCGAGCGAGCGCGGTGACCGGTGTGAGTGTGAGCGGTGTGCCGTGTGCGGGGTGTGCGCGGCCCGGCCTGCCCCGGCCGCCCGCGCCAGCCGTAATTTTTGGCGCCCTTGAGAATAAACAAAACCCCGAGATAGTGTAAGTGAGAGAGAGCGCGTGAGAGTCGTCGGTGCCTCGGATCTCGCCGAGCTCGAGCGAGAGAGCGACACCGGAGAGAGCAGAGAGAGAGAAGCGGGGAGTGCCAGCGCAGACACTCTCCGGACACGCGCGACCCCTCTCGCACGAGCAAGGGGGGGGGGGGGGGGGGGGGTGCCCCCTAAGAGGATGCAGAGAGGGCTGCTAGCGGGAAGGGGCCAGGGCGGCAGCAGCGGCGTATAAGCGCAAAGGAGGGCGGCGCGCACGGCGGCACATCAGCAGCAGCCGCCCTGCGAGCTGCCCTCGCCGTCGAGGGAGCGGCCGGTGCCGTAGCCGGTCGTGTTTGTCTGCGTGAGCATCTTGCTCTTGATCTCGGAGGAGATGAGCAGGAAAGCCGTGTCGACGAACGCGCCTGGCGAACGTGTCGCGTGGACGCGTCGGCGGCGCGTCCCGTGGGCTGTGTCGCGTGGGCTGCGTCGCGGGCGCGGCGGTGCGGGCGGAGACGCTCAAGGCCGTGGTGAGGTCTTGCAGGCCGGAGGCGGTGGGACGGAATGGCGAGTGACGGAGCGGGAAGGTGTCTCGGTGGTCCCGGGAGTCTCTCGGAGACGCCTCCGGAGTCTCGGAAGCGTCTCTGGAGCGTCTCGGAAGCGTGCGCGGACCCGTCTTCGCCGACGCCTCGAGGAACTGGACGCCGAGCTCGTCCGCAAAGTTCTTGCCCTCCTGCTTCTGCACGGCGCGCAG